AAGCTTTTATGAGAATCATCGCCTGATCGTGTTCCTACCAGGAAGGTCTTTCAGGGCGTGACGAGCTTTTTGAAAACGGTCTTTTGCATGATATAGGGGCAGATGCGGGAACCACAGAACCATGTGTTCAATTTTTCCTGAACGGCCCTCTGAATACCAGAAAAGGGTCCCTAGTTCGACCCCCCCCCCCCCCCCCCCCCCCCCCCCCCCCCCCCCCCCCCCCCCCCCCCCCCCCCCCCCCCCCCCCCCCGGCGCGTAACAAAATTTTTAGCTTCTAGTTTGAACGTGGCAAAATTCGCGCAAAATGGAGTTAGAACCAACCAGAACAATCAGAACTCCATTTTGCGCGAATTTTGGAACGTCAACTCGAAATGCAAAAATTTGTCACCAAGAGGAATCGAACTAGGGACCCCCTTTTCTGGTATTCAGAGGGCCGTTCAGGAAAAATTAAACATGGTTCTGTGGTCCCCGCATCTGCCCCTATATCATGCAAAAGACCGTTTTCAAAAAGCTCGTCACGCCCTGAAAGACCCTTCTCCCTTGTGTCAAGTTATCCTTGCTGCTTCTTCTCCTCCTCGTATAAAAAGACATAACTTAACAGCGATATACCCAACAGGAAAGGAGGAAATATCAAATCAGTTATAATCGTGACAGCTAATTTTGCGTGTGCAGCAAAAGAACTTGCTTACCACAGAAATTGTCACCATCTCGGAGGATGAGCTGAGGTCAAGGATCCATCGGTTGTGAGGAGGAGGAGAGTGCGAGGCATGGTAGAAAGAACGTCGACAAGCAATCTTTGACCACGGCCTCTATAGCGTGTGAGAACAATCGCGAGAGTGAACACGTAGGGTGGAGAGCTAAGACGGGCTCGACGCTGCTCGCGAGAGGCTGAGTGGTGGTGCGCCGCGGAGAGCACGAGAGTATAGGCGGAAATCTTCGACCAATCGTCGACGAATAATTTTTTTTTTCTTTTTTTTTTTTTTTTTTTTTTTTTTTTTTTTTTTTTTTTTTTTTTTTTTTTTTTTTTTTTTTTTTTTTTTTTTTTTTTTTTTTTTTTTTTTTTTTTTTTTTTTTTTTTTTTTTTTTTTTTTTTTTTTTTTTTTTTTTTTTTTTTTTTTTTTTTTTTTTTTTTTTTTTTTTTTTTTTTTCTTTTTTTTTCCCTCTGGTGGAGAGCTACACTTTATCGGGCTAAGGCAAAAACTTATAAACGTTGGGATGATCAGTTCCGTTAGATAGAGGCTGCGCCTAAAGAAAGCGTTTTTAGAATGAGGGCGCACGCGAACGTTTGATTCTATTTTATGTGAAAACTAACCGTGGCGGTTCGATTCTCACGATGTCCAAGAATTTACTGATGTTGCGATGAACCAACTTCCGGCCTGGACGCTTTCATGGCAGGGTGAGGGCTTCAACCTTTGTCATTCAAGGGTGTCGAACTGAGGGTTGTTAAGGGCGCATCGTTGCGGGTTTGCGACAGTTGGCCTGACGGTGGAATGACTGTGGTGATCACGATTCATCAACCAAGCAGTCAGGTCTATTCCCAGTGAGTGAGTGTTTGAAGAGAGCTTGAGAATATCTTGCCAGATCTTCTGTTTCTTCCCTTTGCAGTATCTGTCTCATGGCATGCGGTCGTATCATCTACCTCGGGCCTACTGAAGAAGCAAGTCCTCTTTTCGAAAGGTCTCATTTATATACTCTTCTTTACACCTTTTTCACATTATTTGATATTTTTTAGCAAACATTTTAGCCGTGAAGCTCCATCGCTTTGCTATCACCCTTGAGTGTGACAAAAATTACATACTTCTGTATGTGTGTCCTTATTATGCTGTATGTTGATCCACTAATTTCTCGTTACCATCAGTAATTAAGAGTAATCGCTGCCGATCGAGGAAGCTTAGTCATTAGAATATCCGGAGTTAAAGGCACATTTAGCGGATCATGCTAAAAGAATCAATCGCTTCCGTGACTAGGATAGAGCTACTCAGTTACCGAATGGATGCTCTCGCGGCTCAAAAGTACTAAGGGCGCTAAGTCCTTGTAACTTGCACTGCCCTGCGCCTCTACTGTTTGTCGCGATACGACGGCTTCGAGGCGTGATGTCTGCGTCCTCTCTTCCGTCATACTCTCTCGCCTATTCCCTTCCCTTGGCGCTCACTATTTCTTCGTTGTAACACAACCCATTTAGCAAAAAGTAAAGGCCTCTAATTGAGCGTGTTTTTGCCTCTCTCCTTTTTTCATTAGCTGTCCAAATCATTTCTGTACGTTCATCTTGACCTTAATGGCATTATTTCATTTGGTGGCATTTAAGATGTGGCTACCCCTGCCCCGACTACTGCAACCCATCAGATCATCTCATTCGGACACTTTCTATCATCACCGGACAACGACATTCTTCCCTGAGGACAATAGCTGTAAGTACTTATGTGAGCAGAACGTATTGTGATGAAAATTCGCTTACAAGTAGGAGCATCTCGTTCCGATATTTTTCAGTTATTTTAAAAATCGGATTACCGCTACTTCACGCCACTTTACTATTCACATACTATTATCATTTCTTTCTTTTTAATCCTGGAAAACTTTTTGATTTTCTCAAAATTTCCTAGTTAACTTCTGCGTGTGACTAGCGATTTTATCTTTACCAATAAGCCCTTTCCAGAAAATTCGACACGGTTTCCGTATGACCACACAAGGAAAACAAATTACAGAGAATTAGCGAGAGAAAGGTCATTTTATCTTTTCAAATATCATTTTTTTATCAAAGTGGTTTGAATGGCTCTTTTCTCAGATGGATGGTAAAGACGTCACAAGAGTAAAAGACGAGAAGGACAGATCATTCCTGAAAATGCAGTGAGTTCTAGTAATTTACATGAACAAGGAGAGGGGTCTTAGCCAAAAGTTTATGAATGGATTCTTTTCAACGGAGTGAAGACAGCGATAAACTTTTTACTTTTCCTTGACACATGGAAAGAGCGCGATTTCGTACGTGCGTTGTGATACCGTAGTTGATCAGCGCGTCTCAGCTCACACTTTTATGAGCCAGGATTATACGCACGCCGTAATCGGGTCGGCTTGATTCATATAGGCAGAACACGAAACGTGCGAAAAAAATTAGGAGGAAAGGCCGCGCAGTCGCGAAAAAATGACTATGTAGATATGAATAGATCTCGGATCGAGATATCGCCGCGTTAGAGGCGTTTCTGAACTTCAATAGCAGATAGATGATAAAACACTTAAGACGGCGAAACTCTTCTGTGAGGTTGGGATGAAACATTTTCGTTTTCGACGAGAATGATTTCTGTGTTCCCAAAGTTTCACGAATGAAAACGGGTATCGTTATGTGTCAATGTGATTTTCCAATATTTGAAATGTTGGTGCTTTGCGAAAATGCAAACATTGTGAAAATCTCAATTGTGCGATTGGATTGCTAGACGTAGGCAATGCTGGTAGCCTGCGAATACCAATTGTATGAGATTGTTCACAAATGTCAACTTTTACCTGATTGATTCTGTCAGCGCTATATGCTCAGTTTAAAGATTAAGCCATGCATGTCGAGTTCATCTAAAAGAGAAACTGCGAACGGCTCATTAGAGCAGATGTCATTTATTCGGAAAATCCTATTGGATAACTGCGGTAATTCTGGAGCTAATTTATGCTATAACTTCGCTTGCGAAAAAAAGAAGGGCCTGCCGGCGGTAAAGATTCACATCTGAGGTATGCTGGTAGGCTCTTACTTGCTTCACCTTCGCTTGCTCGCCACGCAAGTTAGCAGGTCTCAAACTGTATGTTAACGCTCTTCCATGAACCCCAAACGAGCGACCAACTTGTAGAATTCACATTACAAAAATGCACTTTCAGATACCCAGCTTCGTTGTGGGCCCAAACGAAGGCGCTAACATGGAGATCATGGCTCACTGTTATTAGAGATCCAATGTTGATAAATGTCAGACTCATACAAACTGTGGTGAGTACGAGACTCAATTTATTTATCTTTTGTTGAGGATTGTAAAACACTGGGCACCTCGAGGGAGGAACATTCGGAGAGGAGAGCAGCTTAGGACACAGAGAGACTCAGATAGTACGTGGTTTCACGTGTTGTTCGGGTGCCCATGGTTGCAACTCCTAAGTCTTTAGTGCCCTTGTCACGAGTTTCGAGCTGCAAAAATGACACTGTCACTGCATCTGTGAGTCCATCTAGCTCGCCTACAGGATTGATTGTTGCAGTGAACATATCGAATGATTTGTTGAGATTTGAAGAAACTGTAGTAAACTGGCCTTTTCGAATAAGGGGTAAATTTTAATGCATATTTCGTCGTAATCAAAATTTTTGCCGAGTGATGGAACTTTCGGGTGGGTGAATCAATTCGCTTCTGTGGAAAGGGGATAGGCTGACCACTACTAACCAATTTTTATTATGCAAGGACAGTTTCGTGGAGGTTTCTCGAATTTGCTTTAAAGGAGGAATTCACGATTAGAATGAAGGTCGAAGAAAGGGAAACTGACCTAGTTGAGGGACCCACGGACCTCCTGAGGGTGCGAACTGACGCGCAATTCGCATGGAAAAATTTGACCTCGGCGACCTATCATGCCTCAAAGCTGGCGGGTCCGGCGATCTCCGCCCACCGATCATCTGATCACTCGCCGTAGTTCAATACGTGGCGAGTGATTAGATAGCTGAGAGAGCGTAGTGTTGAAGAGGGCACAGCGATGAGAGTCGCATCAATGCTCGAATCAACGGGCAAGGAAGGGGTACCATTTCTCGGGTTCTGGGCCGTTTCTCATGGTTCTTCCTTCTTTCGTGTACCACTCACCATCCCTAGGTTAATTTGAAATGGGTTGCTTTTTCATCGTGAATTCGTCCTTTAATTGTTTAAGATTATGCTATTGATAACACGAATGGTCTATTTCCAAACGCCAGTAACTGCCGAACACACACCGTCATCTCAATAAACGGAATACTTTTCAATCATGTTCGAAATCTCAACTTCATGCTGCAGTTCCCTGCTGTTCCGGTGAGGAACGATATCTGTTTACCTTCTTTTGATTGTAGTATAAGTTAAAGGCTGTTCTAAGCAAAATTAGAATTGAACCGTTTAAGGCAATCACCTATGAGTTGGCTATTAGTATTACGTGAGAACTCCAACGGAATATACCGCTCCTCGTCATACTTTATTGGAAAAAACCTGGCTGAGGTAAGAATTTTCTTTACTCACAATCAGCTCTAGTAGACAGACACAATGCAGCTTTGAGAAAACACTGCCTTTTTTCAAGCGAGGTTAATACAAGGTACTCAAATCACAGAAAATTTTTGAGCAAAGTTTCGCGAATATTAGAACCAAAAATTTTACTGCACACTAAAAAGTCGTGAGTGGCTTTAGGCCACTGGTTGTTTCAAAGTAAACCTTTAGCAGCAAAATGCTTGGATTTTAGAACTAATTTTTTGTTAGTGTAGTAAATAGTGACGTGATTACGTATTTAGTTGCCAGAATATCTCATCCTGCCAACAATCTACAATGTGATCGTCTATTGGATGGCCGGTGAGTCGTTGAGTCCTTCTTTGAATATGAGAATGTACTAAATTGATTTGTTTCAGGGTTGGTTCCGAACTTGTGGACATTTCTATTCGCGTCCTTTATCTCGGCTCTTTTGACCAGTGTTGCCATTTCTATTTGTGAGTCATGGGTTGTTCTTGTCGAATCTCTCGAGGTTTTCGGTTTTACCCGAACATAGTCCGTGTTCGATCTTCTTGCAATCTTGGCATGATGAATTCAGTGGTAATGATTTCTCGAGGGTCAATAAACGAAAGGCTGACAAATTGTTTGATCTTGAAAAAGTCGTAGAATCGTTACCAGTGAATTTACGAGACAATAATGATCGCTTTTATAGGAAAGACACATGAGATCCAAATTACAACTCAATGGGTAGCTTCATAAATGTGGTAACAGAACAGAACAACACAGTTTAGACAGAGCCCGAGAAAGCTCCACAAATATATTCTTTGGATGAAATAACTGCATAATATTTGGATAAATAATAGGTTATTTCGCCGGCCGCCATGCCACTGTTGCCACAGAAACGGAACTGAACTGTCGCGTTCAACAGTCCTCCGACCATGAGTATTACCCGTCCCAGTTTGCTGCAGCCACGGAGTAGTATTATGGAACTTATAGCTACCAAATTCCGCCCATTCATTCAACCCATACGGGATAAGCACCTCTATAGGGCCCTCAGAAGAGAAACCTGGTGTACATTTTAGTGTCTCAGATGTCACGGTAACTGTGCTGGTTTAGACTTCACCGGACACTCCAGCACTGTACATGCAGATGTCTCGACCTCCATTTCTTGAGCAAGCTTACTCCTTCCAATGTGCTCCCATCCACTGGTGACATGGACACCTCGTGGAGGTGGCACGCATGCACAAAAAAGTGTCTTATATAGTAGAAGGCATTACCGTAATCGTGACATGACCTTAGAATGATATTAATTGGACCTCAGGTCTTGTTGTCGATTAGTCCTCCCTCCTCATCCTCCCCTGCTCCCTCAGTTCTCCATCTGCCACTGCAGCATCATGTGGAAAAATCGAGAATGGGTTCAGTAGAGGCCGTGTGCAGCAAGGCCAAGGTTAGGCTCCCAAAACTGAGTCTCTACTCCTTTCGATGGCGCAGTCCTCATGGCCAACATAGGCCGGAAAACTCCAGCGGTAAGCTGCTACATATTCTGCGACCGTGAAAACTATGGAGCCGCAAAAGGCAGTGTTCGCTATTGCAGCACCCTTCAGGCTCGGACATTTCTTTAATGGTATACAATCTCGGCGGACCTCGCGGTGAGATGAAACGTGCTGCCATGCTCCTGTGAAAAGCTCTCTGAGGCTGTACCAAAAGACTTTGTGAAGTATTTTCTTGATTGAATTGAAATATCTGCCCATTTGGCTGTATCTCACTGTTTGATAAGCGCAGTGAAGTGCACAGCTAAAGTGATGTATGTAAACAACCACCATGCATCGAGAATCGAGGAAATTTAGCGGTCGAATAATAATTTTTGGTAATCTCAAGACGGAATGCCCAGTATTCACTATCAAATTTATTAGAGCATCCCATTCATCCTCAAGAACTCTAGAAGGTGTAGCGGTTGAAAGGTGTTTGAATTTACAATTATAACGCTAATGAAATGATATTGAAATGAAATGCATTATCTGCAATCTGGTTTCGAGTAATCTCTACGTTCGTACGCATATCGTAATTATCAGTCCTCATCTGTCGTTATCACTTTTTGACCCCCACAAAATATGTTACCGTCCACCCCCATATCATGTCCCAAAATCAGCTCCTGACGACTGCTGCGAAGCGCACTATGAATTTCGTGAAATTTGTGTTTCAGCGCCTCTTATCTGCTCATATCAGTCGTTATCACTTTGTGACCCCCACCAAATATGTTCCCGTCCCCTATATCATATCTTGAAACCAACTCCTGACGACCACTGGTGCCCGAGCTATGAATTTCGCGACACTTGCGTTCTAGCGCCTTTTATCAGCCCTTATCAGTTGTGATCACTTTCTTTACCCCACCAAATATGTTCCCGTCCCACCCCCTATATCATATCTTGAAACCAACTCCTGACGACCACTGGTGCCCGAGCTATGAATTTCCGGTCAGACAGACAAACACATACACACACACACACACACACAACCGCTTAGCCGATTATATATAGTAGGTAATATGATTAATAATATTAATAATATAATAACGATTCATATAATAGAAGGATATTTATTCGGATATGAAAGGATATGTGTACACATATTGTATGTTAGATAAGAATTAGAATGAAAAAATCTGTCTTAAAAATGGTGGAACAATGGTCACGTTTGTTAAGCATATGCGGTTGCGACAGTGTTTGGAAGAACAGATGTCGCGATGACGTTCCTGCCGATTTTCGTGATACCAATGCTGGCATTTGGAGGGTTTTTCATCACCTATGAATCTATACCAGGCTATTTCATGTGGCTCTCGGCTTTGTCCTACTTTAAGTGAGTCAATATAGCACTTTGTTCATTTTCCCTTAATTTGCTTCTAATCCGTCTTTGGCAGCATTTTGTTTTCCAATGTGCATTTTCAGGTACAGCTATGAAGCCCTTGCAATAAATGAATGGGAGACGATAGATGTCATTCCAGGTAATTGCTACCAATGATCTGCTTATAATTTTGCCAGTTCGCAATTTGGGCGTAGCCGTAATTGTTGTGGGAAAAACGAGAACTTTAACCATCTCAGATGGAGGCGTTGTGACAGTCACCACACGGCCAAAATTTGGAATAATATTTGTTTCTTTTTGTGAAGTTCATCCAAGTTATCTAGGAGGTTTCAGGCTGCCAAAACCATACCTTCAAGTATAGGCAATGCCCAACCTCCGGCGCTCAAGTGTTGGAACAGGTGAGTGCACTTCAGCGCAAAGGGGATAAAAATGGTTCGTTCAATAGACAGCTAAATTGATTGTGATTGTGAGTTTGTGATGTGTGATTTGCGCAAGCGAAGTCTCATGAATTCGGGGTATATTATGATTTTAGTGTTGCGAGACATTCATAGTATTCTAACTAGAGCCAGAAAGCGAGACGCACTTCCTGAAAGTCAAAGGCATTGATCACGCCGGCTGAAGGGCGGTAGGGTTCTGATGACGTCACTGCTTCTAACTTCCTTCCAGTGCCGTAAATGACGTCATCAAACGCCCACCTCCATCGCGTTGCTGACCTTTAAGTATTAAGTTAACGATGAACCAAAATAGTTATATCGCTGCTTCCACAGGGTGTGGTCAAGACGAATGGCTTATCCGCAGAAATTTGCTGAGTATCCTGTTTTCTTCTCCATTTTCCTGTCTCATATGTGCTATAACTCAAGTTTCGTAACGGATCGTACTCGGTGATTCAGTTGATCGAGCGGGTATCAGCAAGTGGACGGACGTGTCGTTCTCTCTTGGTCGGCAATGGTCTGTTCATCAATACGTAGCATCGCCTATTCCTCTTGCATTAGAGCTGATCGTTGGCGCTGTATTGGTAGCTGGGTATGCAGTTATAAGCAACACCCCCAGCAAGGTCGTGGCCGAGATAATCATTCTAACAATTGGGGAGGATGGAAGCCCACGATTAGCATAGATTTGCCGTTGTTACGGCTCGAAAGTCGCGACAATGGCGCTATTGTCTTACCAAGTCCGCTTTCAACCACTTATTAGCATTTGACGAGTTACGCCGCGCACGCGCCATCACGTTAGTGTGTAAGGGCGCACGCATAGTCGGTCGTCCGACAGCAACGATCGCAACTGTCTGACTGTCTAACTGCATCTAATCGTCGAATACTCAGGCAAGTCCGACGATCGATACGCATCCAATGCTGTGCGACAGTTACGCAGTCGTTGCTGTCGTCCGACCGACTATGCGTGCGGCCTTACGTGCGCATGCGGCTTAATTCAAATATGCGCGGGGGTTAGTGGCCGTGGGAGATGAAGTTCGTAAAAGTCGTCAACCGCTCTGCGTCTTTTCAGAGAGATCTTATTTAAGGCTTCATCGGCGTATTTCCTTCTGGCTTCTTATTTTTTTCATATGTTAGTAACAGTTCGCCCATCCACAGACGCCATTATACCCACTGCGTCCCAAATTCGATCTGGGGTGTTGCTTTAATATTTGAGTAGTGTCATACGTATTTCAGTCGCAGGTGATTTCACGTTAATGGAACATTGAATTCTGCTGACTTTTAGCTCTGTTCTCCACCCACTCATAGAGGTAGCATAATTTGAACATTTCAAGGAGAAATCCATCGATTTGGGCTACACATTTGCTGCTATATTACTTATCTAGAATCTGCAGTGTTAGGAAGTTACGGCGCTCTGGCAAGGGGGCTAAGGACTCTCTCACTCACCCAGGGTCGGTCCTATCGTTGCTACTTTTCGAAAAATTTTTACGACCCCCCTCCCCAAAGGTGGATTTGGTACGACCCCCTTCTCGACCCTCGACCACCATATTCCTCGCTATAGTATTTAATTCTGGTATCACTCAACCCACCAAACTCCGCCCACTTTTCCTCCAAAAATGCCGTCGAGCGGGGGGGTATACACTCTGAATAGTAAAAATTTTACCAAAACTTCACGTCATTTTCTATTTTCTAGGGGGAGTATATACGCGCGCTGAAACGGCAAATTTTCTCCCGCGCCGCTCCCACTCATCTCATGCAAACTTCTTACAACCGAAGCAAGTACGACCCCCCTCTACAAACTCATCAAAATACGACCCCCCGTTGCTACTTGTAGCAACATAGGGTTGACCCTGCCCCACCCCCTAGACTGCCTACACTCCCCCTGGCGCACAGGTTTCTCGAAGTACGGGACCCCGTGAGCCAGGGGGAGTGAAGGCAGTTCAGGGGGGGGGGTGAGGGCAGCCATTTGACGTTGCATCACAATGCCCCCTTACCGGATAAGCGCCGAAATTTCTAAATATTTAGACTTCTTTTCTGTAGAATACGAGATCCCAGTTTTTGTATATTGTATATACGCATAAGGTTTTCGCAGAAGTAATTGTCAATTTCAAAGTAAAAATGTTCTGTCGAGTTTCCTACAACTGTTTGAGAGATTCTATGGTTGTTTATGAAACATTCAACACATTTTTTTCTGTCTCATGTCATATAGGTTCAATCCTTGAATGTTAGACCCGGATGGAGACCGTCACAGTGCAAGTACAAAAACTTACCAAGCGCATGGTGCTGGGTCAAATCCCGGCTCGAATTTCGTCTATGCCAACTAGGAAGACGAATTGGGGCCAGCCATCAAACACCGAAATCGTGTGAGGGATAAAAAACTGTATGATTCGTACATTGGTCAACACAAATCATTCTATAGGCTGATGTCACATATTTGTGCGCTTTTTGATGGAACTAGAATGCGTGGCGCATTCTAAGAAGCAGTTGATTAGTGTCCAGTCTTATAGTTTGTTGAGCCTCCTCAAGATTGTAGTACTTAACAAGGCTGACGTTACGGCTTTCTTCGCCTTCTTCAGAGCCTGAAAAAGTCGAGAACATTGAGATCGACCCTCAGAGCTTCTAGAATCCTGGAGACAAGTCCAAAAGCTCAGAGGGTCGATCTCAATGTTCCCGACTTTTTGAGGCTCTGAAGAAGGCGAAGAAAGCCGTAACGTCAGCCTTATAAGTTATTAAGTCTTGGGGAGGCTCAATAAACTACAACTGAATTTTGACTTGTTTTTGTTTGTTAACTGCTGTTTTGGCCGCAGTTCGCCTTGCGAATGTTTCACAAGAATGCTGGGTTGTGAACAAAACTTTCGCCCCAGGCGGGACTAGAACCCGCACCCCTCGCTTTCCGCAGCGCACTTGTCCGGAAAACGAGGGGTGCGGGTTCGATCCCGTCTGGGGCGAAAGTTTTGTTCACAACCCAGCATTCTTATAAACTGAATATTATTCATTGCCAAGACTAAAGGAAAGCTGATCGTGGACTATAGTTCAACAAGTTGGTTAGCGCTTCATGGTTCTATAGGTATGGACCTCTAAAATAAGCGCTTGACACCAAGGTCGAGTTCTCCCTTACTCAGATTTTCATTTATGGGACTCGCAAAAGGGAGGAAGAACTTTCAAAATCTTACCTTTGGAATTCATAAATTTATGACCCCAAGACTGGTAAGGTGCCCACTCAGGGAAGATAAACACCAGCAAAACAAATGTTTACCAAGAAGGTTTAGACAGCAATAACTATTTTGGGTTTTAATTTGATTCAATTTTTTATGTCTTCGATTATTCTATCGGTTACGTGTTTTTAATTATGTTCTATTTTGTTGATTGTATTAAACATCGATAATAAATCGATAAATCATAATAAACTAAACAATTGTCTTTCCACCTCTCTTGGTATCGACGTTGATCGATCGCAGACGGACAGCTGACCCTGAGAGAAAGCAGGTTGCTTCAGAGTAATGAAAGTGCATATGTATTTTTCTATCTTTCTTTTTTTCTCTTTTTTAAATGTGTACTACGTTGTGGGTGTGCTACTGTGTTGAACAAATGAAGATTCAGAGTATGTATTGATTTTCAGAAAATTCATTTCAGCCATGCAAAACCTTGGAGACTTCTTCTTGCGTGTCTTTGCTTTTTTTGCATCGAAGGCATTTCTGCACGATATCCTAAGCGATTTGAAATAGACTTGGACGCTCCACCCAGCCAAAGATGGAACGAGGTCGTGAAGTATCATCGTGACGACATTCCAGGCTTCATCAAAGCTGCGCAGTGAGCAAATCATGCCATTTCTAATGCTTTTTTACTTGGTCAACACTTTAGTGAATTGATATTTTATTTATTTATTTATGCGCCCCACTGACGCGCTCTTACACACTGGGTAGGTGATGCAAACACTAAATCAACATTGAATAAATACTAAATAAATAGACAAGAGGATCGGAGTCGTACCATCTGACCGCTATCATAGTGGGAAATGACTAAAAAATTATATTATTACTAATTATTAGATATTGACTAAAAAATGAATCAGATGAATCCACCTTGCTTTTCCTCATCATCTATCACAATGTGGTTTCGGAATTTAATATTATTCTTCAAAGCTTTTTATCTTCAATTATAAGAGTGGGGATCTGAACAAGTCGTTCAGTCTTCGCATATCAAATTTTGGTTTTCTGCCTCAGTTTACTTTTCCCTTTGTTGTGAAGTAGTGTCCTAGAGGTTATACCACGTATTAAATAAAATATGATGATATCTGATAACTGTAAAATCAAAAAGTGGAAGTCAAATGAAAGGAGAGTGGAGTTTGAATTGAGAAAAAAAAATTTAAAAAAAAAATTAAATTAAAATTAAACATAAAAAAGCCGATAGAGACAAAGATGGTCAACAAAAGATAGTGAGAAATGTAAATGGGAAAAAAGACGCAACATTATCTATGCTGAAAGAGAGAAACCCCGGTATACAAGAACGAAATCGGAGGGTAATGAGTTTAGGGATGTGAGTTTTCCAGTTGGGCGCAGGAAGTGAAGGGTGACGTTCAAAGAGAGAAATTGGTGAGAAGGCAAGATGGGCGCACTGAACCAGCGCTTCCTTCTTTCACGCCTTTCTTCCTCTCCCCAATCTCCTTCCCGCAACTCCGCATAAAAAAGTTGAAGCCAGGCGGGTGTAAAGGATCGAAAAAAATGCCAGAAATTTTGGAAGCTGAAGAAAATTGACCAATTTGCACTTGTCAAAGCGAGAGATGGGGTGAGAGGCATAACAATCGCATAACATTTTTCTTTGAAATATTCGATTATAATTTAAATCCTTCTATTTTATAAAGCGCTAACTTTGTGTGTCGGTTTGTGTATCTGTATGTGTGTGTGTGTGTGTGTGTGTGTATGTATGTGTGTCCGTCCGCAAAATGAAGTGAGTGAGAAGGAAGCTCATGGGATAAACAAACCGCTAACAAATCGGGTAGCTTACAGGATTTGAGATATCAATGTTTTGTAGCAGGATAGTTGTGATAACACTCTTAGGGCTATATAAACACCTGCTTAGCACACTTCCGTTCATTCCACATGGTGCTGCAGTGGCAGCTGGAGGGCAGTGGAGAGAGGAAGGGAGGATGAGGAAGGGAAGCGAAAAATCTACCGTCATATCATGATTGTGTCCCTTCTACTGTATGAAACACCATTGTGTTGCATACGCGTCACTTCCAGGTGTTGGTGTCACAGGAGGAAGGGACCATAGCGGAGGATAGAAAGCTTGCGCAGGAAAGGAAGGTCCCGGCGGTTGACGGGGGACTAATCTGGTTAAAAATAAAACATTGAAATCAAAAAATAGATTACAAGTGTGTAGAGGAATGATAAAGTAGGGACGATGACTTTCTCATGTTTCCAACATTCATTCGTTTGAGAGGGGCGGCTAGATTAAAGGAATCTTCCACGGAAAAAGCTCCGCCCTCATTACCACAGAAAACGATACCTTAAAGGAATCTTCCACGGAAAGAGTGATCATTTTGTCTTGTGTGTAGGATTAGTATTATCGAAACTAACGCTTATGTTCCGTTCTTTTTGCTATGCTCATGAGGCTAGGGGCCTAAGGGGTATCGTTTTTCTGGTAATGGAGGCGGAGCTTTTTCCGCGGAAGATTCCTTAAAGGGGATTGCACGGAAAGAACGAAGGTCGAAGAAGGGAGAAATCGCCTAGTGGGGAGAGCGGTGAATCTCTTGAGGGTGCGGACAGACACGCAATCGGCATCGAAAGATTTGACCTCTGAGATCTAGCATGGCTCAAAGTTGGCGAGTTCGGCGATCTCCGCCCGATCCATCAATGCTCAAATCAACGGACAAGGAAGGGGTCCCATTTCTCCGGTTCTGGGCCGTTTTTCGTGGTTTCGCTTTCTTTCTGGTACTACTCACCATCTCTACCTCAATTTGGAATGGGTTGCTTTTCCATCGTAAATTCGTCCTTTAAAGTATATTTTTGGCACCAAACACGAACC